GGAAGGAAGGAAGGAAGGAAGGAAGGAAGGAAGGAAGGGGGGAGGGAGGGAGAGAGGGAAGGGGGAAGGGGGGAAGGAAGGATAGATGGAAGGGAGGAAAGAAGGATGGATGGAAGGATGAATCTTTAACTAAAACTAGTACAGGGAGAAACTATCAACTATCTACTACATTTACCAAACACTTGGTACTAGGTATTCTGAGTCCTTGTGCTTAAGTCGCACAGAGTTGAACAGAGTAGACTAGTGTGATTCTAATAAATGTGGAAGAACACGGTAGAGAGAGAATCAGGAACGAGAAATAACAAATGCTTAACTCAAGAACACAAGAATGTGGTAACTCCAGATACTCAAACAATTAAAGCTGCACTGAGAACTGCAGAGATGGAAGATGAGGCCCAGAGAGGAGGACGGCAGGACTGTGAGGGCCTCAGGACTGTGGGAAGAGCTGGGCTTATTCTCTCAGGGAAAGTGATGCTGTCAGAAAGTTTGTCTTCAAAATCAATATGTAAAATTGTTTTCTCTTTATATTTTTACAATCCTCAATATCCTAAAAAGTAGAACTGTGCTTCATTTAACCCTTAGCTTTAACCCTTTTCTGACTTGCCAGTAAACTTTTACTCTAATTTTAGAATTTGGATAAAGTCTAAAAACTTAGTTCATCTGTGCAGAGCTCATGGACATTATCCCATGGATTATCTACTCTAATATGAATTATAGTTCTATTCGTTTTTCTTGATCTGTCACCAAAAGGTTCTCAGCTGTACAGAAACAAAGTACAGAGGGAAATACATTGTTGAAGAGTCTCAATCAATGGCCTCCTAAGCAATAAACAAAGTTCTACAAAGTTCTTTCAACTGCCCGACTGTACTCACCTGGGTCTCCCTATGGCTGTCTCAAACTCACTCTGTAGACCAGACTGACCTCAAATTCACAGAGATCTTCTTGCCTCTCCCTCCCAAGTGCTGGGATTAAAGGTGTGAATACTACTTGAGGCTTTTTTTTTTTTCCTGCAAACACTTGAAGACCCTAAGCTCGGTATCCATTTTCTCAAGTCTCAGGCCACTCTTATTAGATATCAACCGATTGGTTGATTGATCATTTAACTCATGGGACTTCCCAGTTACTCTGAGAATACACAGTAAGAAGCAGGTATATTCTTCCAGCCCAGCATGGTGACTTTTAGTAACTACCACACATTATGTAAAGGGTAAGAGACAACAATGTCTTAAAAAAAATAAGACTTCTACAAATTAAAGCACAAGTTAGAGTAAAATTAAAGTAAAAATAGCAAAAATCATTTTACTGGAAGGAAACGCTAGACATTTGAAGGTGGGGTGGGTTAGATCCCGTTTTATTTAACAAAAGTCTTTTTGATCTCTCCAGAAAGATAAGAGTTACTCACTCTCCAGGGCATGCTGGGAGTGGGGCTGGTAGTTATGGCTCTCTTCTCCCTCTTTCCTATTAATTTCAGTGTCAAGCAGGGAATCTTTTTCTCAAACTCTTATAAATGGAAAAACAACCAGAGACAGAAGCTATTTCCTGTCTTGACAGTCCACTTTCACTTTTTGTGTCCTCTTCCAAGGGTTTCCAAACCATGGAGAGCATTGATGGACAACACACCTTTGTATTAAGAACTTCTCAGAAACAAAGGGAAATGACCAAACTGAAAAATCTCCTTTGTCCTTGACAACGTATCAACCCTGTATCAAGTTTCATATAAAAGAAATGGCCAGGTCTAACCTCTCATATTTATAAAACTGGACACACCCAAGGATTTTACATTCTTTGTCTTATATCACTATCAAGTGTCAGAACACTAGCAATAGTCCTAGAATACACTGTCCAGGCCAGCAAACTGCTACTATCCACTGGCATAGGGTTGGGCACCTCAAAAATAAGCACCAGTGAAATCCACAAGAGTGTTTTCAAATGAACTTGAACTTTTATCAGAGAAAAAGAAATACTGCAACAATATCTTCTATGCCACATGCTCTGAGAAAGAGAGCTCATTCTTTTAACTTAATAGTGGGGTCTGTGTCTTCTCTCCTCCCTGATTCAGGCTAATACAATATGGCAAAAGTGATTTTGAGACTGAATCATAAGACACAGTAAAGGATGTAAGCAAAAAAAAAAAAATAAGGTAACATATATAGAACAGGAGAAAATATCTGCAAATTACATATTAGTAAGTGTTAATGTCCAAACTATATAACATCAATAGCTATAAACCAAGAAACAAAAACAAAAAACCCAAGCTTTTAATTTGAGTAAAAACCTGGGAGAACTTTAATAGGTAGTTTACTTGTCCAAAGAAAATATAGAAATGAAAAGAGCAGTATCAGTAACCATGAGGAAAATTCAGATTAAAACCCCCACAGAGCTATCCCCTCTGGCTGTTAGCAGAGCTGTTCTGTAAAACAAAAGCTGGAGCCCATTGTGGTCACAGGCCTGTGATTTCAGCACGCAGACTGAGGCATGAAGATGAAGAGTTCAAAGCCAGCCTGGAGAATATACAAGATCATGTTTGAATAAAACCCTAAACCAGACCAACAGATAATGAAACCAGTAAGAAAATAAAGACACTCACACCCGTGCCAACTCCAGAACAAAACAGTGCAGCTGTTTTAACAGAATGCAGACACCTTCACAACAGAGTAAAGACGGACTCCAGACAATCCAGATATCCCAAAGAATGGAAATGGGGCTGGGTGTGGAGGTGCACACCACCAGTAATTAGGGCACGCACAGTAGGGGCAGGAGGGTTCAAGGCCAGCTTGGTCTATACAGTGAGTTCAGTGTCAATTAGGGACCTACCAGGATCTCATCTCAAGCAAGTGAATAAGCACCAGTCACAAATACTAGGTGATTGCACTTATGTGAGGTACTTAAAAGTTAAATTTATCATATCAAAGAGTAGAATAATGGTTGCCAGGAGCCTGAAGAGCGGGGGAATAGGAAGATACTAGTCAACATGTATAGAGCTACAGGTAAGAAAATGATTAATTTTTAAAGATCTGCACTGGACCTATAGATTACACTTAAGAAGTAAGACAACAGGTCTCATGGTAAGCATTTCTATTACAGTAAAATAAATTAAAATGAGATATTCCTTTATGGCTTTCAGAATGTCTTACTTTTCTGATCTACTTTCATTTATTATGTCTTTTTGGACTTAGCTCTGTGCATGTTACTTTTGGACCTACTATAACAGTATTTCTAAACATTTTGTACTTTTCACATAGGAAGACAATAGGATATTCATAAATTGTACCAAGTTGTGATTCCTACATTTTCGGTTTAGTAAGTTTTAACACTTGCATATTGACAAAGTTTCATATTATCACTTCCCATCTCTGAGAGTTTGCTCACCCATCACTAAGCTGATCCCTCCCTCCAGGTCAGCAATGACAGCTTCTGGTCACCCTATTCCAGATGTGTAAGCACAGTACAGGTAGACACTGTGGCTCGGAACATCTGTTATTCATTATGCTACTGTGAACCACAGTAGCTGAGACTTTGTATCACCAAGCAGTACGTACTGAGTCTCCCTTGTCTTAGGGTGGGTCATGCTTTTGGTTTTAATGCTTTTGGGGGCTTGGATTTTCACACTAGGAATGCTTAAACTGTATTCTAGTCTATGAACAAATCATGTGTTTATTCATTCCTTGTTGATGCACAAATAATTTTGTCCAGTTTCTGTGGACTACAATATAAGGACTATGAAGCCAATCACTATGGTACATGTCTTTAGTCTCTCCTTATTTCATAAAGACCTAAAATTTAGAAACAATACTCTAGGTTGGAGATCAATCAACTGGCACCTATAAGGACTTAAAATAGAATGTGATTTTTATGTGTGAGTGAGGTTATTGTAGTTTTCAATGAGAAGTTTCATACTTTGCCATATTGAAAAACTGTTACTGTTGTATGTTCACTATTATCTGAGAAGCACTACACAATATTGAAGCATGGAGAAAATGTGGTTTAACATAAGAACAGAGGTTCAGGTTCAGGTTCAAATCCCTGACTACAATGTACTGACCAGGAGACCTGGTAAAAATCCAAGTGCCTATCAGCTTCCGTCTTGGTATCTGGGAAGTAGTGAGAATATTTCCATGGAGTTATATAAAATACACACTGAAGATACTCAATAAAATGTCAGAAACTATTGCTTCTAACAGAATTCTATGGAGAAATATCTAAAATAGAATATAGTTAGTCATAAAATGTAAATGAACAAAACCAGATATTTATAACATACAATTTCTTTTCCAGAACTATACTGTTCCTCACATGCAGCTAACAGTATTGCTTAGCAATAATAACAGCACGGCTGGTCCCATTGAATAGATTCATCAGTTGAGCAAGTAACCATGTACCCACACTTTACAGCCTATGGAAAGTAACTGAGCCAATCACTCCCTTCTGCCCCATCACCATTGTAATCGCTATGAGCACTGTGTGCTTCTTGCAACCCATGTTCCTCACATCATTTTGCTGCCTGCTGCAGAGCGCAGGAGCTGCGCTGCCACTCTGCTTGCTCCCCGCCTTGAAAGCAGCATCTCTCCTCGCTTGCTCAAGCAGAACTCTCGCTCTTTCTTTCAGCTCCTCTTGTCTGGACAACATTCGGTGCTTAAAAGCAAAGATACAGAATTAGAAGCCAAACCATAAAAACGCAGTTAAAGGTTAGATAACATATTAAAATAGTTAGGTATACAGTCTTCGTAACAGGACTACAGAAAATATTAATGTTGAGACAAAACTGTAGAATGAATATATAAATTTTGACAAAAGTGAAATATAACATTATTCCCTAATACTGGATGAAACTTCAATATAAATTTATAATTTACTTTATTATTATTATTATTAATTGCATGAATATGCATATGCATGAAGTGTGTGCATGTGTACAGGTGTGAACATGCATGTGTGGATGTAAAAGGGCAACTTTAGGCGTTGTTTTTCTCCCCCCACTGTGAACTCAGGATGAGACTTAGGTCATCAGGCTTGCATGGCAAGTGCTTATCCCAGCTGAGCAACTCTCATTAGATTTGATTTGAACATATTCTCATAAGGTACATGTCAATATTAGATGATAGATTCAGGTCTTCTTGTAAGCACAGTAAAATTTACTAATCAAAGATATAATAAAAAGTTCAGTTCTATTTTTATAGTCTAATAGAACTGACAACTATTTATCTTCACTTTATAAACTGCTCATATTTAAATATCTGTGGCAATACTCTTTTAAACTTTTGGAAATATTTACAGAAGATCCCAAGCGTGTATGTATCTATGCATGCATACATGTAGCATGTATGAAGTCAAAGGCCTCACTGTGTAGCCTGAGCTTATCTTGAACTCTTTATGGAGCTAACCCAGGTTAGCCTGCAGCTCTCAGTCTACTTATCTCTGTTAGCAGAGTTTTGGGGTCACCAGGGTGTGCCACCACACCGACTACTGTTGTTATATTCTGTAAACAGAACTCACAAACTCCACTGGTCATTCTCTCAATTCTCAATGAAGCAATCTTATCAGAATTGAAAACTATCATATGTTCACAAGTAATCTTACAATGTGTTTTTGGAGAACAAATATTGGCCAGTTCTTAAATAGTGGTATTAATCAAAAGCATAATATTCACATTGGTTTAAGAATTTTAGAATCAGACAGATCTTAGTTCTATCTCTTAATTATAGGCAAGTTATTCAGTCTCCCTGAGTCTGCGTACTCATGGGTAACTGGGCATGAGAGTAGAGCAGCTTGCACAAACTCAACGTTAAGAGAGAACTACGAGTACTGGCACAAGATAAGGAGTAAATACATCATATACATATTAAAACTATTTTTATTTTATGTATGTTGATGTTCTGCCTGGTTGTATGTGTGCGTGATGTTGCCAGATCCCCTGCAACTGGAGTACAGACTGTTATGAGCTGCTATATGGGTGTCGGAGATTGAACCTGCGTTCTCTGGAAGGGCAACCAGTGCTCTCAACCACCGAGCCAACTCTCCAACCCCACGTTACTGTATTTTAACCCCTATTAGAGTAAAACTTCCCCTATCTTAGAATAAAACAACTGACCTGCTTGAAAACCTCATTGGGTCTAAATTCTACAGTCTACAACTATAGCAGTCAAGCTGCTATATAAACACTGCAACTCTGTGTTTGGTGTTAAAAACACATAAACACTCTGTTTCTACTTCAAAATGTACTCTATATTATTGTAGGGATTTTAGAAAACAAATGTAAGTAAAAGTAATAATAAGTTAGTGAGTATGGAACTCAGAGATCATTACTGTGTAGCCACACCCACCTTCCGTACCGTGCTTCCACTATACACCCGCCCTCATCACTTCTTCACTTCATACTTAATTGTAAGGAAATATTTCCTGAGCACCTCATGTATTTCTCCTGAAAATATGATTTTTAACAGGATGCCACACAGTCTATTATACAGATGCACAATACTTCATTTTACTGGACATATAGAGTATTGGCTTGTTTTTCTTTTCTTTTTTTGTTTGTCTTTTGTTTTTTTTTTTTGTTTGTTTTTTTTTTTGTTTTTCCAGACAGAGTTTTTCAGTGTAGCCCTGGCTGTCCTGGAACTCACTCTGTAGACCAGGCTGGCCTCGAACTCAGAAATCCGCCTGCCTCTGCCTCCCAAGTGCTGGGATTAAAAGCGTGTGCCACCACTGCCCGGCATTGTTTTTCACTATCATAAATGTGTTTATGAACATCTTTATACATAAACTGTTGAATCATTTTCTTAGGTAAAATTTCTAAAGGTAATATATTGGGTTTTGATGGGTACAAGGGACTAACTTGGGACCACTGAGCTACATTC